TTTCTTTCTACTTGAGCCCTTGGTATCAGCTCCTCTTTTTTCCCTCCTTCCCCCACCCTCCCACCCTCCCACCCTTAGGATCCCTTGATAATTTAGAAATTATTATTATTTTCATTAGTCTCTTTTTTAAGATCTGTTAACCACACCTTTATTCTTGCCTAAGAGTGATATTTGTATTGGACATTTGAGGTCAAAGGGAATGAAGTTAGTTGCTTAATATCAAGCAGCACATCTATAACAAGGTTTTAATTTACATCCTGTCTGCTAGTCACTAACTCGGGTGAAGATTTATCAGTCCCTGTTTTCCTTTCATTGTCAAGTGTTTCAGCTAGCAAGTTTAGACTGTACTTGGTTAGGCATGTGCCTTTGTGAGATTACTGCACCAGTACAAGAAAAGATGCTATATGTCTGCCTGCCTTTTGCCTTAGGTGCATTTTGTTCCGGACTCTGGAACTGTGGCTCAGATCGTCTACACCGATGATCAGGGACGTCCACCCCAGCAGGTGGTGTACACAGCAGATGGCACCTCCTACACGTCCGTGGATGGTCCAGAGCACACACTGGTTTACATCCATCCTGTGGAAGCTGCGCAGGCATGTGTGGTACTACTTTTTTGTGGTTTTCTTATTAATTAATTCACCTAATACTTGTGCTAGGCACTGGTGATAAAGAACATATTCAGGTAAGAGTTCTGTTCTTAAGGAGCTTATAACTGATTTGGCAAAGGATAATAGGGGTTATCTATTTGAATTAATGCCAAGAGTTATGGTACAAATCACACATCAGTGTTTTTTGTGACCACTGACTAGATCTGTGTTTCCCAAAGTGGGTGAGAGCACCCCTTGGGGAGTGCTCGAACAATCCAGGAGCACTGTGAAAGTTGATGCCTACACTTCATGTTGGATCGTGGGCTGTACTACTCAAGGGTTTCATTGCTGGGTTGTAGGGGAGGGCGGAGTAGAGCTGTTTTTGTTTTTTTTTCTGAAAAGGTATAGGAAGCCAAATAAGTTTAGGAAACTATGGACTAGAATATACATCTAACTTTTCTTTTCGTTCGTTCTTTTTTAGAATCAAGCACACAATTTTATTTATTTATTCTTCAATAAGTTTATATCTTTGAGGGGCACAGCATCACATGGACTCTGTGTCCAACAGCCTTAGTAGGCAGGTTGCTACGGAATTTGGCCAAACCATGCCACTCTTTCCATGGGCAATAGGTTAGCTCCCCTTGCCCAGGTGACTGTGATTTTGTTAAGTTTGCTGCCAGGAGTCACCGAGTTCTTTGCTTTGTACACATAAGCACATCTTTTGCCTAAAGAGAATTCAGTTTCATCTCGGGCGTAAACGCCTTTCATTTTAAAAAGAGCGGTGTGTTCTTTCTGGTTCTGGAGACCCTGTTTATGGCCAGCAAAAATGCCTTCGACCACAGCCTTTCAGACATATTTGCCGTTTAGAAGTTCTATTTCCATCAGGCTCCCAAATTTCCAGCAACTGGCTACTTTTCTTAAGTATACAGAACCAGGCAAAAAAATAGCATAACTAAAGATAGTCCAGAAAGCATACAGATTATTTCAGTTAAATATATACACAGAGGATCCTACTAGCTTTTAAACTATTATTTATCAATAACTTACTTATTTGTGCGACCATATTAGAAGCAAGGTGTTTCCTCGAAAGAACAGTACAGTTATAGCTCCTTTTGTTTATTGTCTTGCCAATGACTTGGAGCGTCAATTTTCATATGAATGACACAGATATTTTTCCACAGAGCTATGCTAATTTCTCTTGTTACCACTTAACGGTGGACAGAGTGCTTTCAATATGTTATTTAAAAAATCATAGTATTAGAGAAGAATCCTGGTAATAGCAATTTGCCCTCATGCAATGTTTAATTAAGAGGCTCAAATCACTCCTAAGAAGAAATGGTGCCCTCCCAATTAATACTTTCAAATGTATATAATAATGAAATAGCCCGTCAGACTGTTTACATTTGACATATTATTGCTTATTTTTAGTCCCTACCCTATTACATAAAATTAGATTGTTTATGTAAATAATATCCTGTGTCCAACTTATAATTTATTACTATGTTACTAGATGTCTAAGTTGTGTGTGTGTGTGTGTGTGATCCAAGAAGTATGATGTGGCTGGCTTAAATTCTTTTCTGTGTTCTTCTGGAATCAAAATGGAACCATAGTATTCCCATAGAGTAGCTAAATGGGGTTGGGAGAAGTAAAGCCATTTAGAAATCTAAGCGTAATGAATATTTTTGGATTGGACATATTAGATGTGGTGCTTTGGCTAAAATAATTTTGATGATTTTCCTTCTCTATTTAACTTTGCTACACGATGACCAACACTCCTGTGTGTTTATAATTCTTCTTCTGTAAAAAAAATAATATCATTTGCTTTATCAAAAAAAGGGAAGGAAAGCAGCAGCTATGAGACATTAAGTTTAATTCATCTTCCTTTTAATGCTCTTCTGGTAATGAATGTGCATTTATATTTGAAACAGTTGTAATAGTTGTGAGTAAACTCTTGCAATGTGTGTATGCTCTTATAATCATTGTGATGAATACTTTTCTGAATGTGAATCTCCATCCATTTTCACTGAGTCACAAGTATATTCTTGCCTTCACAGTGTGAACTTGAGTGCCCTCCTTCACGTACCCTCCTACAAGACTTTCATGACGTGCCTGTTGAAACTAGCTGCCCTATTTAACCTCAAGGGGGACTTTGCTGGAGAGTAAAATCATGAAGTGTGTTAGACATTTAGGATGGTTAGCGTTCACCATCTCTTTGGAGCCATTTAAATGAAAGGCTTTAGCTAAATGTACGATTGCCATCTCTATCTTCTTTATTAATGAAGGATTATTACTAGCTATAATGGGAGTTAACTCTCTCCGAAATTGGTGCTTAGTAGTAGGTTCAGTTTCCCTGGGTAGACAACTTGTCTAGAGATCTATGGATAAGCTATTTATTTATTTATTTTTATCTAGACTCTGTTTACAGATCCTGGCCAGGTCACTTACGTCCAACAGGATGCTACAGCTCAGCAGGTAAGGAATTGCCATTGTTGTTGTTTGTAGATAATACTATAAAAGTTACAGCCCTCTGGAATGCCTCCCTTAATCCTCTATGCTGTGCATTCTCAGAATGTTTCCTTAACCATTATGAACATTCTCTAGTTCCTTTAATGAAAACGAATAAAACATAACACTAATATACACCAATCAGTGTACGTTGGAATAACTTAATGATAAAAAGTACTTTGTCGATTGTGGTGATGATTATACAACTTTTCTTGATATGATTAACATATTGAATTGTGTGATATGAGGATTAAGTGCCAATAAAACTGTTTAAAAAAAACAAAGACCAATAAATAAATAAATGTTTTGACAGAGTAATTTAAAAAATAAGCGTATAAGCAGTATATTAACTCAAGTCCCCAAAATAATTCCACATTTAAAAAATATATGTGTATCTATATAGATTAGATAACATTTTAGAAAAATTAAAGCAACATTTAAAAAAATCCTGTTTACATTACATATAAATGAAGTGTCAGTCTTCCTCATTCTGGTTTCTTAAAAATTGGGATTATTTTTAATTTTCTTTTACCTTCATTTATTTTCTCTTTACCTTCATTTCTAATAATTCTATTTGACCTTGAGAAAGGAGTTCTTTATGCTCAAGCTGTGAATGTGAAAAAGAAGCTTTAGAAGCTAAATACTGTCTGTGTTTCCGTAAAGGGAACATGAATTCAGATATATTTATTTTCATGTCAGCTAGTATGATTGTCATTTCGCTGCTCTGTGTGTCATGGATGACTAGTAATTAAGTTTTCATTTGAAAGCACTTCTGCTTTTAAATCTTCATTTATTTATTTATTCTTTTACTTTTTTATTTTTTAATGTATGAGAGTGAACTAACGAACTTTGTGGTTAAGCATTTGGCTGCTAGATGAAAGGTCAGCCACTGTGTGGGAGAAAGATGTGGTAATCTGCTCCATAAGCAGTTTATTCTTGGGACAGTTTTACTCTGTCCTATAGGGTCACAATCAGTCAAAATTGATTTGATGGCAATGGATTTTTATCAAAGTGTATGATTCATATCTTTTTATTTTTGAATTTAAGAACAAATGAGTGTTTGTGTTAATGTTATCTGTGAAATCAGGAGAAAGTTCTCGGTATATAAGTCATGCCAGAATTTATTCCTAGATGGTAGTGAACTACATAATCAACTATGGTTTTGTGACCATAGCTGTATATAAATATGAAAGAATTATTATTTTACTTTAATAATTATTTAATAACTAGGTATATTCTTGACCAAAAGTTACGTAAACCTGAGAGTAAGTAAAAATATATTGCCACTAGAGTTCCAGTTCTCTCTCTCTCTTTCTCTTTCACACACACACACACACACACACACACACACACACACACACACACGATTACAGATAACACATGTTTAAAAATGTCTCTGTGATCAGTGGATAACTGCAAACATGTCCCCCCCAGTTGTACTCTTGTTCCTTAGCCTCGTTAGGGTCCAACCAAAGAAGTAGGGGTCCTCCTACTTCCAGTTCAATTGAAGGCAGAAAGGTTATCTCCGAAGGTTATGGCAATGTATTTTGGTACCCCCAACGGATAATCTTGGTAGCATTTCTTGAAGGACACCGGGGCCATCATTAGGGCTTATTAGGAAGAAGTTTTCAAAAATTAAAAATTGTGCTGGTGAGATAAAGGCTAGAAAAGTTATACCAAGGAATTTTTTTTCTATTACAACACTAAACCTGCTTATTATTTGAGGCCAACAAGGGCTATCCTATGAGAATTTCATTGGGAAACCATACCCCATCTACTCTACAATCCTGACCTTGTCCCTGTAGACTTCTTTTTGTTCCCAAACTGAAAGAACATTGAAAAGGTCCATGATTTGAGTACCTCAAGGATGCTGACTTGGCTGTGTTTACGTTGGGTAAATGGAAGAGTAGAGAATTCTTTGGGGTGAGTATATATACCTACATGGGATGTATTGAAAAGCAATATAACTTCCAAAAAAGAAAAGAAAAGCAATAACTTCACATTTGGTTTTCTTTTTAAATAAAGGTTTCTATGATTTTTCAGCAATACTTTTTTACACCCTTGTATTTATCATATCAATTCCATCATGCAAATGTTGTGGAATCTAGTTAGTTTCCGCTATTCATTGGGAGAAATAAAATGATTCCATTCAATATCCTCTAGAGGTGGTTAATTCAGTTTTAGGGTATTTTGTTTCTTAAAAGTTGAAGCAATTAAAAAAAAACGATTAGACCAAAAAAAAACTGCTATTGAGAAAAAGAACCCAATACCTCAAATTCTACCCTTTAACTGAATATTTAATAATTAGTTTATAACAGGCAAAGAAGTAGGGGAAAATGTTATATTCGAAATACTATTATTAATTTAAACATTTTAATTAAAAATTTTTTGGACTTAAATTTATTTGAATTTAGCTGAATAAAATAAAACTGAAGTGGCACAGAGAGTAGGTGGGTCATTTCACCTGTCACATTGCACTAGTCCCCGTCTGTCCATCCCCTCCCGGGAATCAGCATGCAGGGCCTTCTTCCTGCCCTCCTCACTGCTGTCTGTGTCAGGTATGTCATTACTGAAGCTACACATGTATGTTCTGTTCAGTCACCACAGTTATTAGAATTTTACTCCATTCTCTACTGCCATTTCATTTACTTAGGTGAAATCTTGAGTCTAATTTTCTTATTGTCTCCATACCTTTTCTGTCTTAAAAGCTTGGCGATTCTTTCTGTATTCTTTTTTTACTCACCAATTTCCAAAACTTTTAATTGACCAAGCCAAACACCCAGAGTTTTAAAAACACATACTAATCAAAATATAACTGCTCACATTGGCCAAAGGAAAAAAGTGTATAGAACAGAAATGATACTTCCTGACTAAAGTGTACTACTCTGACAAAATAGAAAGATCAGGCCTATTTTTCTTTCTCTCTGGCTTGATTTCTCTTGTAATTGCTGGAATCGAGAGCCAGAAGTTAAATCTGCATTCAGTGATGGGCCCTTAGTGTCTACGTTCCTTAGGTTTTTGAAGGGCGTTCTTTCTATTTGGAAGAGATGTGGGTTGGAAACGGTTTGTGGTAGCAAGTGTACAGCTCTACTTGACTTGATTAAATACGGAATGCTAGGCTACATGTATTAAATTCCAACTAACAATTAAAGAGCCCCACAAATACCCCTGGGTAACAGAAATGCCCCTGGTTGAGAACTAAAGTTCTAAGGAATAAAATGGACCCATGCTTGTTCCAGACGAGAAGAACATTAAAGCGTATAAAGAAGCAGCTTGCCCTGGGAGAGGGGCAGGGAAAGACAATTGAAAGGAGACCTAGGGAAGGAGAGCTTCTGGACATGAGGCCATTTGCAAGTTCACGAAGAAGACCCCACGCCAGGGCAGATCTTTTCTTCTCAGTTGGTACTAGGCCAGGGGGTGTCGGTAAACTCTTGAAATGGAAGAGCCAATCCTGCCCGACACAGCAACTTAAAAAGTATTCCAGAGCCATAAAAATCTTGTTACAAACAAATGAAATCACCATTATTTGAATAATACCCTTTAAAATCTTTATAAATGAAACTATGATAGTTTCTTTTTAAACG